CACGGCACCGCTTGGCAAGCCATGCTGTGGTAGGCATCCCACATATAAAGTAGAGGAAGATGGGCACGGATGTTAGCTCAGGGCCAGTCTTCCTCAGCACAAAGAGGAGGATTGGCAGCAGATGTTAGCTCAGGGCTAATCTTCCTCAAAAAAATAAAAAAATTTAAAAAAAACATACATTAGGACAATCAGCCCTTTCCTCGTCATATAAGTAGTAATATATCCCTTGAGTTTGTCATTCAATTTAACTCCAAAAAAAAAAGTCACATTAGGACCATTATGGAATCGACTCACATTTATATATTAATTTTGAGGAAAATTGACATCTTTATGATTTTATTTGCCTTATCCAAGAACAAGGGCACTTTTTCATTTGTTCAAGGTTACTACTGTGTCTTTTAAGAGTGTTTTAAGATTTTTCTCATATGAGTTTGCATATTTTTTAAGTTTACTCAAGTATTTTATATTTTTGTTGCTTTTGTAAACAGGGTTACTCTTACATTGTCTTCTACTTTATTGTTTGGTATGTATGAAGGGTATTTTTTCTGCATGTTAATTTTAAATCTAGCAACATGTCTGAATTCTTTAATGTTCGTGTGAGTTTTAATATTGATTTCTTGGATTTCTTGGATTCCGTGTCTGCACCGGGATCTGAACCAGCAAACCCCGGGCTGCCGAAACCGAGAACACATAACATCAGCAAACGTAATTTCACTTCTTTTCTAGATTTTATGCTTTAATTGAATTGTTTTGTCTTATTACATTGGCTAATCTCCATTAAAATAGTAAGTTATAGTGGGATGGTGAGCATCCTTGCTTTGTTCCCGACTGTAGTAAGAATGCCTCTAATGTTTCCCCAGTAAGAGGCTGAGATATATTTTATGATATTAGGAAGTATCTGTGGGGGATCAGCATTGGCCACCCCAAAATGTGTCTCTTTGGCATGAGGATTATTTTGAGCTGGTTACTTTTAAGAAACTGCAGATGGGGAGAAGCTCTGAAAAGTAGAATTTAACCCTCTGTAAGAGACATTTATATTCGTGAGGGAAATCTCCATCTGTAAAAGTACTTCCCTCTCTGTAACAGGAAGAAAGGGAGATGACCTTATCTCTAGAAACCTTCTTCTAAACCTCCTAGAAACCTTGCCGTATCTCTTATCAAGGCAAGGACTTAAATCTGCATAATAACCTTACTCTTGTTTATTGTCCTTTTCTGGTGATCTCCCATAACTGACACACCCATCTCAACATCCTCCTTTGTCTTTAGCTGAAGAGAGTATTTAAGGGAACAGCCTCCACCATTTTGGCAAGTTGCTCAGTTTTCCTGAGTCTCTCCCATGTGTACACACTATAAAGCTTTGTTTGATTTCCTCCTGTTATTATATCTCATGTCAATTCAATTCGTAGCCCAGCCAGAAGGACCCAGAGGGTAGAGGATTTGTCTTCCTCTTCTACATATCCATCAATTCCTATTTCACTGAGTGTATTTTTTTTTTTAAACAGAAATAGATACTGAATTGTATCAAAGGCCTTTTTAGCACCTGCGGAAATAATCTTATTTTTCTCCTTCTATCTGTTAATATGATAAATTATATTAAAGATCTTCTTTTTTGTTTGTTTCTTTTGTTTTTGCTGAGGAAGACTGCCCTGAGCTAACATCTCCTGCCAATCTTCCTCTTTTTGTATGTGAGCTGCCAGCACAGCATTGCCACTAACACATGAGTGATGTAGGTCCATGCCCGGGAACCGAACCCCGGGCCACCAAAGTGGAGCACGCTGAACTTAACCACTAGGCACTGGGGCTGGCCCCTAAAGATCTTCTTAATATTGAACTATCCTTACATTCTTAGAATAAATCCATCTTGGTCATGAAGTCTTTTTTTTGTTTGTTCGTTTAGTTTTAATAGCCTTTATTTTTTAGAGCAGTTTTACGTTCACACCAAAATTGAGAGAAAGGTACAGAGAGTTTCCATACACCTGTTGACCCCTACACACAAAGTCCCTGCCACTATCAACATCCCACACCAGAGTGGTACATTTGTTACAGTCAATGAACCTATATGGACACATCATTGTCACCCAAAGTCATTACATTAGGGCTCACTCTTGGTGTTGTACATTTTATGAGTTTGGACAAATGTGTAATGACATGCATCACCCATTATAGTATCATACAGAACAGTGTCATGGCCCTCAAAATCCTCTGGGCGCTGCCTATTTACTCCTCCTTCACCCCATCTCCTGGAAACCACTGATCTTTTTACTGTCTCCATAGTTTTGCCTTTTCCACAATGTCATATATTTGGAGTCATATAGTATGTAGCCTTTTACATTAGCTCCTTTCACTTAGTAATATGCATTTAAGATTCCTCTGTGTCTTTTCATGGCTTAATAGTGCTTTTTAGTGCTGAATAATATTCCAGTGGATATACTGCAGACTATTTATCCATTCATGTGCTGAAGGACATAGTTGCTTCCACATTTTGGCAATTATGAATAAAGCTGTTATAAACATCCTTGTGTGGACATAAGTTTTCAACTCATTTGGGTAAATCTCAGGAGTGGGATTGCATAAACTATTCTTTTAAATGTGCTTTTGGATTCTGTTGCTAATATCTGACTTAGAATTTTTTACACCCATATTCATAAGTGAGAGTGGTGCAGTTCTGTCATATTTTGAAGTTGATGCTATACTAGCTTTGTACAAACAATTTGGAAGGTTTTCTTCTTTTAAGATGCTCTCAAACAATGTGGATAGCATCTAAGTCTTAGATCTTGGAGATTTAGAAGAATTTCCTTGTGAACCCATCTGGACCTGGTACTTTTTTGTGTGGGTACTTCTTTGATATCTTTATTTCTTCTAATAAAATTGGTTTGTCTAGACTTTCTATCTTTACTGGGATTAATATTGGAATATTGTGATTTCCGGTAAATCTAGGTCAAATGTATTACCATGATACCATGAAAATAATGACATAATACTACACAATTTTCTGTTTTAACAGCTATACCCCCTTTTATCAGTTCTTATTTTGAATGTTTATGTTTTCTTCCTCTTTTTCTGGATTAGGTTTATTAGTGGTCTGCTATGAAAATCTTTTTTTCCCCTCAAATAATCAGCATGTTGATTTACTTATTGATCCTATTGGTTCTCTGTCTTCAGCTTCACTGATTTCTGCTTTTATCTTTATTTTCTTCCCTCTTTTTTTTTTTTTTTTAAGGAAGATTGGCCCTGAACTAACGTCTGTACCTATATTCCCCTACTATATATGTGGGATGCCTGCCACAGCATGGCTTGATAAGTGGCACACAGGTCTGTGTCCAGGATCCAAACCAGTGAACCCCAGGCTGCCAAAGCAGAGCACATCAACCTAACTGTTATACCACTGGGTCAACCCCATCTTCTGCTTTTCTTTGGTTTATGTTTTTGAGTTAGAAATGTAATTTGTTGGGGCCGGCCTGGTGGCACAGCGGATAAGTTTGCATATTCTGCTTTGGTGGCCTGGGGTTCACTGGTTGCAATCCCAGGTGCGGACATACACACCGCTTGTCAAGCCATGCTGTGGCAAGCATCCCACATATAACGTAGAGGAAGATGGGCATAGATGTTAGCTCAGGGTCAGTCTTCCTCAGCAAAAAGAGGAGGAAGGAAAAGAAATGTAATTTGTTTATAGTCATTCTTTTATTTTCATTATATAGATATTTGAAAGCTATAAGCTTTTCTGTAATTGTTGATTTATTTTTAAGAGATTCTGATATGTATTTTCCATTATCATTATTTCTTTAGAAATTGAGTTCAATTTGTAAATATTTTCCATTTCATCCAACACTTCTTTAATAGCACACTTTAAAATTTCCAGGTGGAAAGCACTGTTTGTTTTCTGATTTTGTTATCAATTTTCATTTTATTATAGTATTAAATACTATTATTGTTTAATTAAAATATTATTTGCATTTTTTCTACTTTATTATTCTATTGAGGAGTTCTTTGTGACATATAAAGTCAGTTTTTAGGACTGAGTCCATAAGTGTCTGAGAAGAAAGTCTATTCTCTCTCTCTCTCTTTTTTTTGCTGAGGAAGATTCACCCTGAGCTAACATCTGTGCCAATCTTCCTCTGTTTTGTATGTGGGTTTCTGCCACAGCATGGCCACCAATGAGTGCTGTAGGTCCACACCTGGGAACCAGACCCAGGCTGCCAAAGTGGAGCACACCAACTTAACTACTAGGCCACAGGGCCGGCCTTTATATTCTCTATTTTTAAGGTGTAAAATATATCAATATATCCATGAGATCTACTTTATTTATTATGTTGTTTAGATTTTCTATATCTCTACTTAATTTGATCCACTAGACCTGACTTGGCCTGAGAGAGATATGTTAAGGTCTCTTACTTTTATTGTTTTTTTTATTGTGAGCTGAGCAGTATGATTAATTCAATGCTTTCCATTTGCGAGTCAAACAAATAACAAGATATACAACAGGATTCCTCTAAATGATACATTTATTTCTGCTAAAAACTTTCCTAGGTTCTAATCCAGGGACTGCCACTACTAATTTTATGCCATTCGGCAAATATTTTACCCTAAGGCCTCAATCTTCTCCTGTGTAAAATGAGGTGAGTTAGGGAATATTTTTTAATCCAATACTCTATTTACCAATTCAATAAAAGTGCTTTTGAAATAATGTCCTTCTAAGCCCCAATATTACTGATGAAAATAATTGCAATAACAACTATCATTTGTTGAGTGCTTACTGCATGCTAAGCTCCACCCTTACCGCTTTACATATATGATTTCATCGAATCACGGCATATTCGTTTTAATTTTTTTCAACCTCTAGAATGTTGGACTCTCTGATTCAATTGGCAGAAACTCGATCGATTGGCTCAGTATTTTTGGAGACCATATACTGCATAAATTGGCAGTGTACACTTGCATACTTTTGGACACAACTTTCTACTTGAATCGGGACAATGGTCAGAAAGATCACATCGGTCAAGGGAGCGATTAGCCAACATTTATTTCTGTTAGTTTCCAGGTTTGGCAGGAAATAAGACCAGAATGAGATAAGGAGCTCAGGCCTGTACAGTGATGGGTGTGATTGAGCTCTTAGACAGAGAGGAACAAAGCTGTTTTCCTGGCCAGCTATTTTCATCCCAGGCTCACACAAGTGCTCCCAATGTGGTACAAATATTGTGGCAAAACACTGTTCCTTGAGATTGGCAGAGTTAGCATCCTAACAAGGAGTGTTTAGCTCTAAGCCAATCTCCTTTTGTCTTTAGTAGTAACGTTGTCAATAAAATAGAGGCTAGTGGTAAGATAGATGGTCTCATGCTGCCTCAAATTAATTAATATTATACCTGCCTCTTTGGCTAAAGATACTTTGTGTTGTTCTTAAGTTTACTTATCCATCTGGGCAATCATTTAACACTATTATCTCCTTTACTCTCACGGTTGATAAAAGATGATACTAGGGTGAGTACTCCTTCCCTCCTGCCCCCCCACCCCCGCTTCTGTGCCCTCAGCAGAGACTCACTTAATAGTCAACTTTGCCAAACCCAGATGCAGCCCCACAATCTTCTCAACATGGCACCCGAGCACAAGACTAGAATTTACTCCCAGGATAAAATTCCTTGCCATTCTTATTTAGGTACTCTGCATGCAAAGACAAGGAACTCACAGTCTAGTGTGGGATACAGGAATGTAAACAACTCTAGTTCAGAGAAATCCAAGCTGTGACAGAGAGGAGTTGCAGCCTATGTTCAAGAGTGCTGAGTTTAGTTCCTTCAGAGGCATGAGGATGTCCAACTCGCTTGAGTGCCTCAGACCATGTTTTTTGTCCTGCTCAGAACAACATGCCAGTATGTATTGAATGTCTGCTTCAGTGGCTCTCACCATATGCCACAGCACGCTTGTGTACCAAGTCACAGATGTGCTTTCAGTTTGATCAATTTGCAAAACTTGTGTTTACCACAATTGGAGCTGGCTAAGTCTCTCAGGTGGGCTGTCGAGGTGAACGGATACTTTGCTATAAATATAGAGCCCTGATGTAAATAATAGCGAAGAGGCATAACATGACTTCATGCGATCTTACTGGACTATGGCTGTGTTTTCGTGCATGAGAGAATGTGGGCACAGCTGGCTTCATGGCAACCCTTACCCCGTAGTCAGAGATGCAAGCATAGCAGCCATCCATTTACATGCCCAGGGTCGTGTTTCAAAAGAATCAGGTGTGTCTCTGTTTGGCTTAGTATTACATTTTATTTTCATTTCAAAGTGAAGAGGATCTGTTCCTGTGCTCTTCCCATTAGTCAGATTTGCTGATTTAAAAGTAGGTATTAATTTCATGTCCAAACTGACATGGCTAGGAAACACTACAGGTAATTAGAAGGCTCTAACTGGGGACATTTGAAAACATTTTGAGACATTTTATTCCAGACTCTCTTAGGTGCACTAGACACAACATGAAACAACAGTCCTTTAACTTTGAAGACTTGTAGCATAGATGCCTACAAGGGAACAATAATTAAAAAATTATTTATAACATTTTCTCCAGCGACTGTTGCCATGATGATTTTGCAGCATTTACTGTAAAGGAAGCAACCAAGGTAAAATGGAAATGAATAGAATGAATAGAACAAAGAAGGAAAATAGCAGACAACGCTTTGGAGACAGCTCTGAGAACCCTGGAGCCCAAGCTCTCCCCAAAACAGGCTCTGTGATTTCCATGTATTGTATCAGGCAAAACAGTGCTGTGAAAAGACACACCAGGACCAGAAGGATCTTCTTGCTTTATAGACCTTTGTTGTTTCCAAACCATTAATAATAAATAACACGAACCTAGGTAGACCAAGAAGAGAAGAGATATTACTGGAACAATTACCTTGGAACACAAGAAATGATGGGTAGGGGCTGCCCGTGGCCGAGTGGTTAAGTTCGTGTGCTCCTTCTCAGTGGCCCAGGGTTTCCCCGGTTCGGATCCTGGGTGTGGACACGGCACGGCTCATCAGGCCACGTTGAGGCGGCGTCCCACATGCCACAACTAGAAAGGACCCACAACTAAAAATACACAGCTATGTACTGGGGGGATTTGGGGACAAAAAGCAAAAAAAAAAAAAAAGAAAAAAAGAGGTGTACATAGGTAATGTGCTGTTTTGTGAAGAGTTGAGTTATTGACTGTCAATAAAATGTGCATTTCAAACAACTCGTCTGAAACATTCTGGCACAGACGTACAAGTTTTTGAAATAACTGTTCCAAATTGTGGGTACAATTTACAACCAATTTTTTCCTTTAATGTATATTATCTGAATGCATTATCAAACCTCTAATAATCTCTGCTCCTTACCCTTTAGTCTGGGTCATAAGCACCGAACTTAACTAAGTAATCCAGGAAAGAGTCTGTAGCCACACAATATATATGAACTTGAACTTTTAAGAAGTTAAATTTGATTGCCATACAAACTCAATAGAGAAACACTTTAAAGTCACTGCTTCTTTATGTAATAATAATGAGCTGATACAATACCTTTCATCTAGGACCTCGAGTGCTTTAGTAATAATGTAATAGCAGCCCAGGAGGTAAGTGGGAGCCAACTGACATCATCCTGAGTCCAAAAGCACTGAGTAATTTGTTGGAAAATCAAACTGGCACCTGCAGGACGCATTCCCAAGAATCCAGTTTCCACTGAGTTTCAGACCTGGAAGATGTACATCGTGTCATGAGATTGAGGCCCTTCTCCATCCCCTGCGTCCAAGGGGAGGGAGGGACCCAGTAATGGGCATTGTTAACAAGCACCTCCTCTTCCCTCTAGGTGACCCTGAGGTCCGGACCACGCTATTAGAAATCCTGATCCAGATCTTAAGGCCATCCAATCCGAATTCCTTTTTACAAAGAGTCCACAAAGGTTCAATGACTGGATCAAGATCTCGTAGCTAATTTGCAGACACGCTGTTTTACCCCGACTTCCAACACCCAGGAGTCCAAGAATGTTAGAGAAATTTCTCCCTGAAATCTGCCAGAAAAGCTTTTTTGAGGGAGTGTGTGACATTTCCTCCATCCCCCGCCCCCGGTCGTTTACCTGCATTCTAGTTAGCATCTTCCTCAGACCATCTCAGAGGTTCCAAAGCACCGAAGGAAAGTTGCCCGCCCTGGGCTGCCGCGGGGCCTGCGTGGGGAGGCGGGCTGCTCCGCCCCCGGCGCTCGCGGGCGGGCTCGACAGTGGCCGCCGAGCGGCGAGCGCGGGACTCGGCGGCGGGCGGCGGGCGGGGAAGGCGCGGGGCGTGGTTTGCAGCTTTCCGAGCGCCAAGGAGCGGAGCGCGCTCTGCTGCGCCCTGTGCCTTCGGCTGGACCGAAAAAGCGAGCGGGAGAACGAGCAGAGGGCGCGATCGCGGGAGCAAGGCAAGCCGGGCGCCGACCTGGGCCGGCCCCGGCCTGCGCCCTCGCCCCTCGCCGGGCTGGCCGCGGGTGAGCGCGGCCGCGGGGCCCCAGCACCCCAGTGCGCCCCGGAGAGAGCGGGCTGGGGCGGGGAGGTGGGGGCGGGAGAGAGGGACGGGGGCGAGGGCGAGGGAGGGAAAGGTCCCCGAGCCGGGGCGGGGGCGGCGGGAGAAGGGGACCGACCTGAGGCTGGGGTCCGAGCCCGGCCACGGGAAACTTTGCCCGGGTGGGGAGAGCGGGGTGCGTGGAGGGCGCCACAAACTTGTCAGCGGGCGGGGCGCTCCGGGGATTGGAGCGAGCGCCAGCGGGTGGCGTTTGTCTCTCCGGCTTCTTTGTGTCACCTCCGGGCCCCAGCCTGCTGGTTCGCCGGGCTGGGAAAGGGGCTGCGCGGGGGCTCGGCCCTGATCCCCCCGCCGCCCCCGCGGGCCCAGGCCCCGGCGCTCGGGGTCTGCTGATTGTTTTCTGTCCTCGCGTCACGCCTGGGCGGGAAAGATTTTGAACGCCGCGTGAGACAGAAGGCGGAGAGCCGTGGCGCGGAGATCACCGAGTCGTGGGCGGCGCGGGGCTCGCCCCGGGTCCCCGAGACCCCGCGGGCCGGGGCGCACCGGGGCTGGAGAGGGCGCGGGGACCCACCGGCCCGGGCACTCGGGGAACCGCGGCGGGCGCGGCAGCCAAGCGCCTCCGCGGTGGGGCCGCTCGGACGCTCGGATTATAATTCCATTTTGATTGCTTGGGGTCTTTGTTGTCTGAAATTGCCTTGAGGGTCTGACGGTAGCACCTTCTCCTTCTTAGGTGATTTTTCTTCTATTAAAATAAAGCGGGGACTGGGGCACTTGTGTGGAATCAGTGCTGCTCAAAACAACATTAGCCACCTTATTCGATGGAGGTTGAGAAGTCCTCTGTAACATTTGCCTTTGTGGGCGCCTGTTATTTCCGAAAGTTATTATTTCCCCTCCCCTAGTGGAAGGGAGCGTCTGAGCCAGATGCCGGCGGGCACGATTGTGTACAAGCACCGGCAAGTCTGAGCCGAACTGGAGGTTCTTTCTAGCCGCTCAATGCTTTTGCATCAGTTTTTTTTTCTTTTTTTAAAGTTTGATTTCAAGCAACTTTGTCTGCTTTTCTAGAAGTTCCCACAGCTCCGAAGTCCTCCTTTGCAGATAGAATGTGACCGTGCTAGGATGGCTGCGACCACTTTTAGGGGTGGGGTTTGCAGTGAAACGCCTGAACCACACCTGGCCCTCTCACCGCCCGGGGCCCTGCCCCTGAGACATTGTAAACATCAAGGGAGAGTGTTCACCTTTTATGAGATGGGACATTTGGTGTGTTTTTATACTTGGATGCATGACTCTTTCTTTAGTTTTCTTTCTGGAAAACTCTCTTGAGACTCCCAAGGGCTCTTCCTGAAATAATCATTGAACTGCCTTAGCCTCGCCATTACGCCTCCCGCCCCGCCCTCCCCCAAGCACCCCTAGGGAGAAGGGAACAGGTATAATCTTCAAGTTTTTTCTTGGTGAAGACTCTGGAGATGTCAAAAGTAAAAAGTGGGAGTTCTTAGTTCTTTGTCCACATGTTTAAGTTAATGAGTTTTATGTGAGTTCAGCAAAAATCAAAATCAAACCAGTTTGGATTCAGCTCAGCCTTGTACATTAAAAATATTTTAAAAACATATCACGTGAATGAATTTCCCCGGGTAGAAATTTTACAAGCATTTCAGTGCATTAGCGCTAACTGTGTTTGCAGGGTATCGCAGGACGTTTAGAGAACTGAGTCACAATGAGGTTATTCTAGGTAGTGGGGTTCTCAGTAGTGTAACCTGAGAGTTTAATGTAAAGCTTAAAAACAGAATCAGTCAGGTCTTAATAAGTAAGGGAAAGGGTGAAAAGCAATGGATTCACTTGTTATGCATCATATGTTTTAAATATAGGTTTACAATAATTTCACAAAATTATTCATTCCTTAGTTTACTCACACAAGCTCTTACCTTATGCCAGCCACTGTGCTGGACTCTGGGGTTCCAAATAATAGTAGTTACCATGCATAGAATGCTTATTTTGTATCAGTAAATACTTTACACGGATTACTACATTCATCTAGTAAGTACTTAGTGAGTGCCTGCAACGTGTTGTGCTAGGTGCTGGAGTTGTCACATAACTGTGCACAGGACAGCTAGGGTTCCCGCCCTTGTCTGGTGGGGAAGATAGGCAGAGCGTAAAAAACATTACCAAACGCATCACAGGTTTTGGAATCAGATCACCTCACTCTGTTCCAAACCCTCCGATGGCTTCCCATCTCCCTCTGGGTGAAAGGCGAAGAGCTGACAGTGGTCCCCAGGACTTAGCCCCGTGGTCCTCCTCACTCCCAATCCTGTCACCTTTTTCATTACCTGCCGCTCTTCTTACTCAGACTTCTACAGCCAAACTAGCTTCCTTGCTGTGTGAGGGCCTTTGGACTTGCTGTTTCCTCTGCCTGGAGTGCCCCTCGCCCAGCCCCCATATCTGTAAGGTTCTCTCCCTGACCGCCTTCACGTCTTTGCTCAGTGTTAATTCTGAGTGAGCCTTCACGAAACCGCAGATTTAAGCTCACAACCACCCTTGCAACTCCCATTCCCCCTTTCACAATGTATTTTTTTTTCTCCGTAGCACTTATGACCATCTGACTAACACGTTCTACATTTTACGCATTTGTGGTCTGTCTTCCCCGACTCGAATGTACACTCCATCGGAGCTGTTGTATTCACTGTTGTGTCCTCAGAATCTGGAACGGTGCCTGGCATACAGCAGGTCCTCACGAAGTTTGTTGAGTGAATGTTGTTGGATGGAGAGGGGAACAACAGGATGCTGAGACATAGAATAACCAGGGGCCCTGTGTGAATATAAGAAGGCTTCTCTCTGGATCCAGGGGACATGTAAGCTGAGGCTTTGATAGGAAGGAGCCAGCCCTGTTGTTGTGGGGTAGGAGGTTGTGGAGAAGAGAGAGGCGTAGAAAATCAGCAGAGGAGACAGCATGCGCAAAGGCCTTGAGCCAGGAAAGAGCTGGTGGTGTGTGGGTTCACTGGAACTCAGAGAAGGTCGTTGTGGCTGAGCACTGTCAGCTCGAGGGAGAGAAGTAAATGAAGATAGAGTGGTAATCAGGTGTCAGAGCATGCAGGCCATGGTGTGGATAGATTCACACTGAATCCTCATGTATACCTGTTAGCCCTGTTTTATAGTTTATAAAACTGGGCATCAGGGAGATTAAGTAACTTTCTGAGGTTACGCAGTAGGTGAATGGCACAGCCTAGGATGGGAAGCCAGGCTCTCAGAGTCCAAAACACTGATATTTGACCACCATGCCAACATCGAAAGACAGTCCCTGTGCTGATGGAGCTGTTTGTGTCCTGGGAAGACACGCCATTGCTGTGGCAGTGCCAGAAAAGATCCATCCCTGGGGGGGTATGGGGGGAGGGGGCCCTAATTCTGCCTGGGAATGGGGCAGACCACTCTGGAAAGAACTAAATCGTTTTTCCTTTTTTTTATTATTATGAAAGATTTCAGATTAGCTATATCTTAATTAAGAAATAATGTTAATATTAAATGCAGTAACCTTGAGGGCTTCACTGTTAGCTTTTTTTTCTTGCTTTCACATCTACCAATGACCTGTGTCATATGCCTCCTTTCCTACTTTCACCAAATACAGGATTGTGTCTGAATAATGTAAAATCGCTTATGTTTAAAGCCTGTAATTCTTCGAGAAATCACAGGTTCTATTCTTCTTTTTTGATTGTTGTTATCTTAAATTGTCCATACTTTCTGGTTTTGTGTGATAATCTTTAAAACAACTCTATTGAGTAATTCACACATAGTAAGCTGTACATATTTAGAGTGTAAAGTTTGCTAAGTTTTTGGCTTGTGTATAGACCTGTGAAACCGTCGCTCTCTGGCCCCTCCCTCCACCCTGCATCCTCCTCCTCCAGACAACCAGTGATGGCTCTGACCCTGTGGATTAGTTTGTGTTTTTAGAACTTTAGATAAATGGAATAATACAGTATGTTCTCTTGTTTGTTTGGCTTCTTTCACTTAGTATAATTATTTTGAGATCCATCCATGTTGTGTGTATCAGCAGTCAATTCCTTTTTCTTGCTGAGTGGTGTTCCATTGTATGGATATACCCCAGTTCATTTATCCATTCACCTATTGGTAGACATTTGGGTTTTTTCCGGATTTTAGCTATTAAAAATAAAGCTGCTTTGAACACTATGTACAGTCTTTGCTTAGACGTCTGCTTTCGTTTCCCCTGGATAAATGTCTAGGAGTAGAATGGCTAGATCTTATGGTAGGTATGTGTTTAGTTTTTTAAGAAACTACCATACTTTGCTAGAGTGTTTATATCATTTTATATTTCCAAACTAGTGTATGAGAGTTCCAGTTGCTCTGCATCCTTGCCAACACTTGGTATGGTCAAGCTTTTCATAGCCATTCTACTAGATGTGTAGTGGTATCTCATTGTGGTTTTAATTTGCATTTCCCTGATGACTAATGATGTGCTTATTTACCATTCACATATCTTCTTTGTTGAAATTTCTTTTTACATTTTTTATTGGGTTGGCTGCTTCCTTATTATTGAGGGTTTTTTTTTTTTGAGGAAGATTAGTCCTGGGCTAACATCCACTGCCAGTCCTCCTCTTTTTGCTGAGGAAGACTGGCCCTGAGCTAACATCTGTGCCCATCTTCCTTTACTTTATATGTGGGATGCCTGCCACAGCATGGCTTGATAAGCGGTGGATAGGTC